GGACAGGTGAGGGTAGGAGAGAGTGAGGGGACAGGAGGGGACAGGAGGGGACAGGAGGGGACAGGTGGGGACAAGAGAGAGTAGTGAGGACAGGTGGGAACAGGTGAGCACGGGGGGAGCAGGTGAGGGCAGGCGAGGACAGGTGGGGACAGGAGAGAGTGAAGGGATCAGGTGAGGACAAGTGGGGACAGGTGAGGGACAGGTGAACACAGCAGGGAAGCAGGTGAGGGTTCCTAACCTGGTGCCTGTGCTGTGCCGTGCAGGGGAGACACATGGACAGCATTTTGGGGAAAAACCACTGAAATGTTTTGTAAGGGGGTGTGGGAACCTTTCCTTGAAAACAGATTTGCTGTCACCGAGTGTTTATTTCCATTAGGTCTGAGGGGGTGGGCTCTGGCCCCCGCAGATAAAAGCCGGTGGCATAGGTGGGGCGAGCGGGGTTGTTTTTGTTCGTTTGTCTTCTGCAGAAGCCACAAAAAAGGACTCTTTTTTTTCACTATGCAAACAAGGGGGAAAAGGCAAAACCTGAGTGAAGAAATGTGTGTGGAGCCGGCGAGGTTTCAGTTTGGAGGGAGCGTGTTGGGGGGGGGAATGAGGGGAATTCAGTTGTGCCTCACACTTCTGGAGGAGCACAGAGGTGCTGGGAGAGTGTCTGAGGGGTTTGGGCACCCCCTGGAAAATGAGCCTGAAGTCGGCGTGTTTCTGCACTAAAAGCTGTGAATTTTCACGTGCATCTTTGCTGACAAAGAATCAGGGAATATCCTGAGGATCATCCACTCCAGCTCCCATCCCTGCACAGGACACCCCAGCAATCCCACCGTGTGCTGAGAGCATTGTCCAAACACTCCTGGAGCTCTGTCAGCCTTGGGGCTGTGCCCATTGCCTGGGGAGTGTGTTCAGTGCCTCCTTTCCCTGATATCCAACCAAACCATCCCAGACTCAGCTCCAGCTGTTCCCTCAGGTCCTGTCGCTGGTCACCAGAGCAGAGATCTGCCCACCAGGAGGATGTTGAAGAGCCCAATGCCCTCAGCTGCTCCTCCATACCCTTCCCTTCCTTCACCATCCTCACAGCCCCTCGGGATGCTCTCAAACAGCTTTAGACCTCTGTCTCTTGCACAGGAATTACTCCAGAACAGTTTGTTCACACAAACTGTGGGGTTTTAGGGTGACAGAAGCTCCCAGCAGAGGGACCATTTACTGTCAGAGTTTCTGCCCAGCCTCTACCAGCTGTAGCTTCACCTCGGTGCAAAGTTCACACCTCTGCAACGTTCATTGTCACCTGCGTAACAATGAGTCTTTGGGTCACTGGCAGTGTTTTTCTCAGTTCATCTACAAATTCAGGAGCTGAAGCCACCCGTTGTTGTGTGGTGAGAGATGGAAAAGCACAGTGAGGCCTCGTGGAGAGGAGGGAGTGTTTGTAAAGCTTGCTTGGAAAAATCATCTTCTGCTGCCTGATAAATCCCATTTTCCAGGCTGGGATTTTTCCAGAGCAGCTGCACTGGAGTTTCCGACATGGTGGGAGGTGGCTGGAAAAGGCCATTTAGGTTTTTCAGAGTTGTCTGGGAAGTTTGGGTACAAAGCCAGCGGAAGGTGATCTGTGGGAGATGTCATTTCATGGGAAGATGGAAGAAACAGGATGGGATTTAGCATTGAGAATGGATTGTTGAAGTCACATGGAAGAGGTGTGGGCTGATCCAGAGGGAAAAGTCAGGTGAATCAAAGCCATTTAAAATCACTTCCAATATATTTAAATGAAACCAAAGTAGAGCAACGCCACTTTTTAGCCTGGTTGCCGACAGAGGGATTCCAGATGATATCACTTATACGATCTGAACCCACACCTTTACTTCAGGGTAAGTTTTCCCTGAGTTTTTCCAGGAATCCTGGCTTGGAGGGCAGGTGTGTGTGGATCACTTCCCAGCCATTCCCACATGGTGTCAGCAGCTCTCAAGGGGAGCGCTGTGGTCCGTCCTGTGGGGAGTTCAGAGGTTTGGCTGGGAGCCCTCTCCCAGGAGCAGGGAACTCATGACCCAAGGCAAGAGCAGAGGAGGGTGGCTCTGAGGGAAGGACATGGAGGAGACCTTGTCCCTGCTCTCCCCATCCCAGCGTTCCATCTGGGGAACTGGAACTGGGTTCCATCAGGGCTGCAGCCAAAGGGGTTCGTGCTGGATGTGCTGTGGGTCACTCAGAGCCTGTCCTGTCATTCCTGAGGCTGTCACTCAGGCCCTGGGGAGGTCACCAGTGCTTTGGGAAGTTCTTTCTGTTCGGGCCTTTTCCTAATAATCTCAATTTCTTTTTGTTTCAGATGTCAGGGAAGAGAAGGAAGTGTTTGTGTCCTGGTCACTGGAGCTCTGTGTCACGGTGTGTTTCAGGCCGTGTGCCATGACCTCCTCCACGGCTGCAGGAGGAAATGCCCAGCGAGGGAAGGCTCTTCCTGCATAGGTGATTGTAAAAGGGGCTCATTTCCCTGCTGGAGCTCAGGAGCAGGTCTTTGGTGGGGGTGGAACATGCACCACAAGTCCCCTGGAAAGAGCAGCTTTTCTGCAGAGCTGCTGTCTCAGTGGAGCATCACCTCCGTGCCCTGGCGCAGCCGGGACAGGACCTGTGGCACAGCTGTGGGGCTGCTCCCCACCCTGAGCTCCCTCCAGCCCAAACCATTCCGTGATTCCACGATGACCTTCTCTGGTTCAGCACAGCCTGGGCAGTGCCTGGAACAGTGCAGGAGGCTCTGGCAGCTTTTCAGGGCTTGTTTGTGGTGTTGGGGAGACCTTTTCTGTTGGCTGTTCTCTGCAGCTCCAGAACAGCCTCACGCCTGCGGCTGTTTGGGCTGCGCAGGCAGCGCTGGCACGTGAGGGCGGCTCCCGTGGGGAGGGTGGTGGGGGCCTGCCAGGAGCTGCTGGCAACACAGCTGGATGAGTCTTGTAGGGATCTGGTGCCTTTCCAGGTCTGCTGCAACCCTCCAAAGCCTGCAGGAAGTCACGTCTGTGTCAGGGGGGGATGTTTGAGCAGGAGCCTCGTCCCTACCTGTGACCCCCTGGCGAGGCAAAACCAGGACCCACCTGCAAAAGTGTGAAACTCTTCAAAGGGGCTCATGCAACAGTGGAGGAGCTGAGCCTGGGTTAGTCATCCATAAAGGGCTTTGTTTTTTCCCTCTCCCACTCCCTGCCCTGGCACAGGGGCTGAAGCTCTTTCTTGCTGCGTGGTGTGGCCAGAACTTAGAAGCAGCATGTTATCTCCCAGGGAATCAATCAACTCTGCCCTGAAAACACGAGTTTCTCTCTGTGCAGCCCCAACAGCTGGGTTTTGCCCCAGTGGGGTTGGATTCTGCTGTGATTGCCCCAGAGTGAAACATGTGTGTGTGCTCACTGAGCTTCGTGTGGAGGTGGGACATTCCCTGATGAGAAGACAAAGCTGTGGGTAAAACCTGTGGGATCCAGGAACTGGAACTGGGTGAGAGAAGTTCTGATTTTGGTACAGAGCAGCATGCACAGATTCCAAATCCTGGAAGGCCTTTTTGTCTATTTAACTGGAAATTACTTGGCCTTTTCCTCTCCTGCAGGATGATTCTGAGCATTAGTGCTGTCCTTCAGTCATGGAAATTTCCCAGTAAAGCCCCTGACCACTTGACAATAATTTTTGTGCCAGCAAGCACAGAAAGGAAAGTAGCTCTCTTGTTATTTATTTTTTTTTTTAGACAATTGAATTAAAAACAAAGCAGCAGGAAGGGAAGTTTCAGTTCCTGCACATGAGGAGCTGCAGGGGCTCAGCAGTGGCAAATGCCTGGGCTGGCTCTGCATGTGGAGCCAGAAGGCTCCTTATCTGTTCAGACCTGAATAAAGTTTCTACAACAAGCTGGGGCAGTGGCAGGTGATGGTAGAATATCAACAGTTGACTCTCTGCTGGTTTAATATCAATACTCAGCTCTGCAGAACTGGGGTCTTAGTGAAAGTGAAAAAATAACTCTCATTTTGGGCAGGCCGGTGGCTGCCACAGCCTGGCTTGAAAACTGCAGATTTCTGCTAAATCTGAATGTGTGAAACTCTTCATTTCAGAGGCTGTGAGGGCTCCCACACATGGGACAAGCACAGAGGCAGGGATGTTCTGCCTGGTTTTAGTGCTTGGGGAAGGAGCAGGATGGGCTGGGCTGAGGAGGAGGGCTGGGGACACTCTGAGGTGTGTCAGTTCAATTCTGTCATTGAATGCAGCAGCACACTGTAATCTGGTTATTTTTCCTTATATCTCTACTGCATGTTCCTGTCCCCTGCTTGGTGCCAACTGTTGGCTCTGAGCTGATCCTCCACCTTCGAATCCATAAACAGTGGATTACAAATGGAACAGTGGATTCTAATCCGTAAGCATATGGATTATGGAAATATATAGTCCATATGGATATCTAATCCATAAACAGTGGGTTACAGACTGGAAACAGTCCTGGTCAGACTCTTTGATTCACTTGCTTTGAGGTCATGAAGCTGCCTGTGATGACACAAAGGGCATCTCAGCTGCCTCAGTTTCCCCAGGTGCCTCTCACCGTGGCCCAGGGATGGATGGAACCCCACCGTGGCCCCAGGCAGGGAAGCTTTGCCAACAAGGACAGTTGGTGGTACAAAAAGTTCTCCCCTGAGATGTGACACCTCCACCCCCAGAACAGGAGTTTGGGGTTTTTTTTCCTTACAAAAGAAGCCGTGATGGGCTGCTCTCAGCTACTCTGACTGATGCAATGTACCCCCACCCTTCCCCACCACCCACGGGCATTATTTTTAGGGTTTGTTTACCTCACTCGGTTCCAGCTCATTCTTTTTTGGGGTGACAAGGACTTCCCTCCCGCAGCTGCCCAGGTGGCACATGAGAAACCACAGCCCTGCCTGGAGAACTTTCCCCTTCCCATCAAGTGACGGGGGGCAGTGCCTGGGACAGCAGAGAGAGGGAGGTGACACACCAGTGCCACGCTCTGAGATCTCTGGGAGCAGCTTCCAGCTCCCCCAGTGCCAGGTCTCTTGTTCCTTCTGCCAGTTTGGCTCCCACCCAGCCCAGATCCATTTGGCACTGAGGGCTTTCAAACCATAACTTAAAAATACACGTGCTCAGAGACAAAGAACTGTCAGGGAAGGAAAAATGATGAACAGTGATACTTATCCAGAGCAGTGAAAAGTGATGTTCTGAGTGATGCAGGATTCCCCACAATAACCTGGACCAGGGATTGCAGGAACCCCCCAGACTCCACACATCTGGGACTGGGCAGTCACTCCCTCCCCTGCCTTTATGCAGTGAAAGGCAAACCTGTGTCCCCATTCTCTAATGAGATCCAGGATTTTTATTGGCTTTTTAAAGAAGATTTGGAACTGTGAAAGGAAATAGGCACCTTTTTCTGGTGAAAGCTACTAAAATAGGTTAAATCCATCTGAAAAATGCACGTTGTTTTTTTTTTTTTTTTAGCAAGTTCTGTGTGACTTGGCTGCAATATTTGTTGCCCAAGCTGTGATTTTGTGGGGTTGCTTGATGGGTAAGTTTTACTGGTTTAAGTTAGGGCTTTAAGGTGGAGTCTGTTTTCTTAATCAAGAAAGTTCCTGGATATTAAGAGTTTCAGGAGGAATGGCTACAAGGGCTGTGGCTCTCTGCAGATCCCCAGCTCTTGCTCCAAGCCCTGCCCAGCTGACTGCACCTTGTGCACAAACGAGCCTTGGGGCAGTTGAGGACCTTGCTGTGGTGAGACCCAGTGTTTATTTAAGGATCCCAGGCTTTGGGGTTCTGCATCTTGAGTTGTGCTGCAGTCTGGAGATGCTTCTGGAGTCTCTGGCCAGGTGCTGAAACTGGCCCTGTCCTTTCTCTTCCGGGAGAAAACATGAGGCTTTCACCTCTCAGTGAAAGCAGAAATGGGCCTTAGCCCTGGCACGGGGGGGGTCAGGCTTCTGTCTCCTCGTGTTCTGTGAGTTTCTTCCTCTTTGATTCCGTGGTTACAATCACCAGGCACTTTTGGTGAAGGATATGGGTCCCCCCTCACTCCCCTGAGTGCTTTGAGGCACGAATTGACTGGGGAGGTCAGGCAGGAGCATTGTGTTTATTGTTTTAGTTGCAGTTCCCACTCTCCCCTGGATGAGGATGGGGACCCAGACCTGCTGCCTCTCCCTGGGAGCAATTCTCACAGTAACGTGGTGGTTTATTACTGAATTTTAATTAAACATGAACAATAAAGTCCTACAGCTCAAAGAATTTTCACTTAAAGGTTGATGAGTAGCCATTAGGTGCACTCAGCTGTGGAGCAGCATCAAGGCAGGTGGGTTCACAGTTAAAAGAAAAACTTCATGTGCTGCTGACTTGTTTCTTTTGTAGTCCATCAGCAGATGAAGTAAACCAACATTTTTCTATTTAGTTTATTTTCCACGCTCTGTCCTGCAGGGCAGCACTGGGATGAAGCTGAGCTGATCAAACAGCTCCTGACAAGACAGAAGGATTGACAAGGACTGTACAAGGATGGAAAAAATGCAATGGAAATCCAGAAGTAATTTGTTTAAACCATTATAATTTATTTTTCTCAAGTAGCAAAATACAGTCAGTTTTCAGACATCAATGGGGAACTTCAGGTTGGGATCTTAGGCCAACATTAACATGACTCATCTAAATTAGATGCAAATTTGTTCTGTCCGTTAAATTTAAGCAGGGAAAGCCAGGCACTCTGACATCACCACTGCCTCTCTGAGGCACCAGCTGCAGCTGTCCCAGGGGGCACCTCTGCATCTCATTTATGGAAGCAGATGTGTGTTATCCTGTTTGGAATTCATCTGGTCTGTAAGGACCTGGAGACCTCTTCATTTGCAGGAGGGGAATGGTTTTTATCTACAGGACACAAGTACAGCTCCAGGTACTGGTGGGGCAGTTTCTTGGCTGGAATTAGGTGAATGGATTCTGCATGAAAAGGTTCCATGGAAGCAGAGTGTTCTCAGGGTACATTCATGAACAGATTGAATTTTGTGTAAAGCAGCTTTACATATTGAATATACATTAACAATGTATTGTTACTGATGAGGAAAACTGCAGATACCCCGTGCTGGGAGTGTCCCTGGCTCTGGCCAAGATCATGATAGCTGGGTCTTGCCCAAATAAGGATGAGAAGGAAACCAAGGGTAAATAGCTGTTCAGTGTCAGTTGTCACTCCGTTTCATGTGACAGAGAAGCAGCACTTCTGTACAGTTACCTGGGCATTGTAAATGAAAATGAGTTCAACTCTTGAGCACAGATAGGCAACACGGAGCAGAATGTCCTCTCTTCCCAAATCCCAGCCCTTGGCAAAAATGCCACACACCAGAGGTTTATGGAGAGTTTGTTTAGATTTGGTGGCAGCCAGGTTAATAACTGGCAGTGCTGTCTCAGACTGAGCCAGTGAATTCTGCCTTGGAAGGCTGATTTTAATCCTCAGTTCTCTAAAGCAATCCTCTCCAAACCCGTGAACCAGGGAGTTCTCTGTGTCACTCCTGATGGATCCGTGTGTTAAAAAAGGATAAATGTCTGTTTAGTGAGTGTTTTGCTGCTCATGGCTCTGTGTGTTCAAGGGAACATGGACACGTGTCCCCTGTCAGCCCTGGGAGCAGCTCCAGGCTGAGCCCTCTCTCCACTGGTGATGGCCCTGGGAGAGGTGGGTGCTGTGGGACCAGAGCACCAGACCAGAGCAGGACAAGGACAGGGACAGCTGCACAGCCTGTGCTGACATTCCCCTGTCCCACCGCAGCGCTTCCCAGAGCGTTCATCTGTCATCAGGAATTCCTGTAAAAGCGCCAACTGGAATTACAGTCTGGGCTCCTCTGAGGTCTGACTTTGCACGACAATAATCTCTGTTCAGCTGCTGTGGCCCTGGCAGTGGTGGGACTGTTCAGATCAAACCTCAGTCGGCCGTGTCTTTGTTGGTGCCGACAGCACCGATGCAAAACACGCCCCAGTAGCTTATGAGTGAAATACAGATCTGACTTCAAAGGCAGCTGAAGTCCTGCAGAAGGATGGGGAAGGGAGGAGAAAACCCACATTCATTTTTATCTCAAGGTCAGCAGGTGGTAGCCCAGAAACAGCGTACAGGCAGAAGTGGAATTTGTGCTTTTCCTGACAGAGCTATGAGTGGCTACAATATTATACAAAGTAATTGAAATGCTGGCTAGGGTTTGTATGGATTTAGCATTAGCTGAGGTCATCTCTCACGTTTCATGGGGGAAGGCAGAGCAGTTGTGTGCTCAGATACTCCACTGCTGGGCTTGTGTGTTGGAGCAAGTCTGTGGGTAAGGGTTGGCCTCAGACTGGCTCAGTGCAAGGGCATTTCCATGGGATTGCAGAGCTGTTGTCTTGTTAAAAGCAACATCCAAAGCAAGGGTGATGCTCCTGGCAGCTCAGCTCCAAACGACAGTCCTGCTGCACCAGCGTCTGTTTTCTCTTGGTGCTTGTCGCTTTTAGGGTAAATGTTCTATTTTGAGCATTTCTCATTTTGACAGGGAAAGTTCTAAGCTGAAGGTGAAATGACAGGAGAAATTATAAACTCACCACCTCTCCCTTGCTTTGCTGTTAGTGACAACTCCATTGTAAAGCCTGTCCACCCGTGGGATGTTGGCCAGCAGTCCCCACTGCTTGAAACAGGGGGAGGCTTCTGGATTTTCCCCTTGGCTTCTCTGCAGTGTGGCAGGTCTTGTTCTGCCAGGAGTTCAGACTGGAGAAAATGTCTAAAGCCATTTCAGCTCGACCAAGAGCTCACGGGGAGAAGGTGGTGGTTGTCTCTGTCTCCATGGCGAAGGAGGACCTCTTGTTGTCTCGGCAGGAGGTGAGCTGCCAGAGGCGCTCCTGGCTCAGGCAGCCCAGCTCCTTCAGCAGCTTGAAGAGGTCGGTGCGGAATTTGACGCCGATGAAGGCGTAGAGGAACGGGTTGAGGCAGCATCGGAAGCAGGCCAGGGTGTAGGTCACGTCATCCGCCACGTCCAGCTTCTTGCTCTCCTCACACGAGCTGGTCTGGTTGAAGGCTGAGATGGTCTTGGCCAGCATGACGCCGTTGTAGGGCAGCTGGAAGATGACGAAGACGATGACCACGGCGATGATGACCTTGATGGCTTTGTTCTTCTCAAAGTTGCGGGCCTGGAGCAACGTTTTGATGATGATGAGGTAGCAGAAAGACATGACCAGGAGGGGAATTAAGAAGCCAAACACCATTTGGGACACTTTGATGCCAGTGTTGAAGGTCTGCAAGTCATTAGCAATGATGGAACAACGGGGATTGCTCTCCGAGTAGTTGACACCACTGTGAACCAGCTCAGGGATGGAGAGGATGAAGGCCAGGAGCCAGATGAGGATGCACGTCACCTTGCTGATGAATATCATCCGGGGACGCAGGCGATGGGCCGAGGCAGCCTGGACGATGGCGAAGTACCTGTCGATGCTGATGGACAGGAGGAGCAGCATCCCGCTGAAGAAACTCATTTTGCAGATGCAGTAGACGGCTTTGCAGGCAAAGCTCCCAAAAAGCCAGTGTGTGACCGCGCTCGTGGCCCAGAAGGGAAGGGTCAGCAGGAAGAGGATATCTGCCAGAGCCAGGTTCAGCAAGTAGATGTCTGTCATGGTCTTCAGCCTCTTGAAGTAGATGTAGGTGAGCATGACCAGGCCGTTCCCCAGCAGCCCCATGAAGCAGATGAGGCTGTACATGGCCGGGAGGAAGGCAGCACGGAAGTTACGGACCTCCTTCTTCTCACACAGGGACTCAAACATGCTGTAGTCGATGGTGCTGTTGGAGTCGTAGTCATCAGTGACATTGTCCCCGGCACAGAACTAGAGCAGGAAAGAGAAGAGTGTTGGGACAAGGACTGCGTTCCCTGCATGGCCGTGCTGGGAAAGGAGCCTGGAGAGAAGTCTCAGGGAGTTCCCAAATGCTGTTTCATGCCAGCATCACAAACAGAGCTGACACAACCTCGTGGCTGAAAGTGTTTCCCATAAATATATGAGGTTTGGGGCTTTCTGGGGGGCTCCAAGTGGGAATTTCACCAGAAATGTTTTGTGCTCAGCCAAAGTAACACCTGCAAACCCTCAGATGTGTGGCAGCTCTCCAGAGTGTTCCAGGACCTGCCTCCAGCTGCATGTGCACAGCCAGCTGTCAGATAAAATGTGAGAAATAAAACATCCTTCGGCTAAATTAAAAATCAGCGAAGGTGTTGGTGAGAGTGTGAGGAAGCGCAGTGAGTGCAGCAGGAAGCTGTTCCCGTGTCGGCGCGGATGTGGGGCCGGCATCTCATTCAGGCCCCTGATTTCAGTTCTGATTACTCGTTTCATCTTCCTACACTGCCATAACCTGCAGGGCAGACAGGGCCTGCGGTATCTGTGCCCTGCTTTTTGTGACTTATTAGTCTCCAGAACCTTCTCCCCATCTCACAGACATTAAAGGTTTCCTCTGGATACCCCCACCCTTTATCAGAGAGCACCTTGGTGCTCTCCATCTCAGCAGGTTTGGCTTTCACCACATCCTGCCAGGCTGCCAGCAGTGAAAGGGAAAAGCACGGGTGGCTGGGCTGAGCCCCAGGAGCCCCACGGGCTGGGGGTGGCCACCGCTGCCGAGGGACAGCGGGCACCAGGACCAGACCCCGGCTCTGGGAGCAGGTCATGGCACAGCTCCGTGCTTGGGGTCCTCCCTGCCGGGTAGGAACTGGGCAAAAACAGGCAGGGGAGATGCTGAGCTCTTCCTCCTCGGGCACAGCCCTCTCTGGCTCTATGCTTGGTCAGAGCCCAGCACCTTGAGCAGGAACCAGCTGCTCCCTGCAGTCAATATGGTGCACTCCTGTCTGCCCTGGAAATGCTCATTTGGGGCTAAAAGGGGACTCCAACAAGCCAGGCCACCTGAAAATCACTGTGTTTGTCACTGTTTTTCTCTCCTTGGTTTTGTTTCTCTTGTTTGTTTTTCTGTAGCTGGGCTCTGCTCTCACCTCCCACCTCCCACAGCTGGATCCTGGGGTGAGCAGCTGTGTCCCCACACATTTCTGGGACTGTGGGTGGCTGCTCTGAGTTTTTGAGATCTCCTTTTACCCACTACACAAAGCAGCTGGATTTCAACAACGTAGTTGAAAACATCTTACCTGAAAAACGAGCGGCAGGCTGAAAACAAGGGTGACCTTTAGCTGCTTGCCTAGGGAAGAAGGAGATGCTGTGTTAGTGGCTGAGTGGGGGTTTCCACAAGGTTCTCTGTTTGAAACAGCAGTGGGTCATGTTGGCCATGGCACTGTGAACCCTGCAGAGCCCTCACCACTAAGGAAACCAAAACCTGGGGAAGATGCCAGCAAGATAACTCAGGGTTGTGTGTGTTAGTGCCAGAGCACTGCTGGAGGCTCAGGAGTCTGGCCCCTCTGGCTTCACAGGTCACAGTTTGGGTTGCAAGGGGCCTCTAAAGGTCATTCAGTCCAACCCCCTGCAGCGAGCAGGGATGTCTTCAACTCGATCAGGACCCCGTGCAGTGAAGGCTGAGAGCTGAGAACTCTTAACTCAGGCACAGAGCACCCATTCTGATTTTATCCAATACTTTTCCCTGCAGGCAGCCAGCAGCCTGTTCCCTTGTGTCTGAGCAGTGAGGGTGCAGCTTAATCCATGTGAAAATACCCAGCTGTGAGGGCCATAAATCCACCCCAGCTGTGCCCGTGTGGTGCCTGGGCTGCGGAGAGGAGAGCTCAGCTCCCTGTGGGACAGATAGAACTGGAACTGGCTGAAATTTATTGCTTGTCTCTAAATGTCAAGAATTGGCTTCTGCTGCCTTGGGATGTAAAAATACAGGATGCTGACAGCTGGAAGGAAAAACTGAATTCAGAACCAGGTGTGATGGTGGTGAGAGAGCAATCTCAGCCAAACAGCTCTTCCTGCTGTGGTTAGCAGGGCAGGGGCCAGGGAAAGCTTTCTCCTCGCTGGTTTTACAGTTCACACCAGCAAGCAATTGCCACTGAAAGTTGCTCAGCTGGAATGTGGCAGAGAGAAAGCCCCTGGCTACACTCCGGTGTGAGGAGGAGATGTGTCCCTCCCTGAGGAGTGTCTTGTCCCAGGATGTCCCTCCAGGCACTGGCTGGTCCCTGCAGCCCCTCTGTTACTGTGGGTTTCTGCTCCGGGGGGCACTGGGCAAGGAGATAGCTTTGGCTTTCAGCTCCCTGTTCCTCCTGGAACTCTGCCTTGCTCCTCATGTCCTGGTTGTTCATGAATGTCACTGATTCTTGTGCTCAGTGTCTGCTGGACTCAGCTCTGCTTGGTTTCTGCTTGATTTCAGTTTGGAGCCTGCTGTGCCAGGCTCCTGCTCATGTTTCACTGGACCAGGATGATGAACTTCCACTACAGGTAACTGCACCCACTGCAGGCTGTTTGTGGAGTTAAAATAGATTTATATAATAACACCAAGTCCCCATGCAAAGTCACATGCAACAGCTTCACTAATAACAGAGTTATCTGTGAGTGGGGATGGTTTTTAATACGTGAGGGTGATGTGTGGGTGAGAGTTCCTCAGCCACGTGTGAAACTCGTACTGCTCATCCCCGGGCCTGTGTGAGCGCCTCCCCTGAGGTCTTCTACAAGCTCTGTCTCACCTTCCCCCCTTTTTTCCATATTTTATGCTCATGCAGCTGAGAGCTCAGTTGTGTTCATCCTCCCCTCCCCTTCTCCTTAGCGCAGGTGACTCAGGAGTGGAGGAGTGCAAGGCAGGGACTGAGCATGGAGTGAAGCTTCTGGCTGTTCTGTCCAGCCAGTGGCTTTCACTCTGACCAGTCCCAGACTGCAGGAAGAGGTTTTGTGTCTGCTGTGGTTGTCTCCCCTTCAAACTGCTGCCCTGGCTTTTGTATATAACACAGGAAATACATGAAAAGTTCCAAGGACTGAGACCTGCTGGGTGGGTTTAAGCAAGCACAGGCTGTAGCTGCCCTTCCTGCCTGGGATGGGGCACGGGGTCCCTGACTCTGCAAACACCATAGCAGCCTTTAGCCTTCCATTGCACCTTCTAAAGGTTTCCCTGGGACTCCTGGAGCTGCTCCTGGCTGCCTGGGATGGGTGATGAGTACCTGTGCTGGTAGTTCAGCCCCACCAGGAAATTACCCCTGTGGCAGCTGGAAAAGAGGCAGAGAAGAACCACCCTCACTCCAAGAAGGAAAAGCCCCACCTAAACCAGACCCCATCAGCTCTCTTTGGCTTGGTTTGCAAACTCCAGAACCAGCCCTGGTGAGGGCTCCTTTGCTCTATTCTGTTTTCTTATCACCCTGTAGAGGTCTAGAAAAACAGGACTGAGAACGTGACTCAACCAACTCCTGAAACAGTTCAGCCCATATCATTCCTTTGAAGATCATCATGGGTTTCTTTTCCCCCCCCCCCCTTCTCAGTTGCTGTTTCAAGTGTCTTAAATGTCAAATGGCTTTTCAATATGAAGAAAGTCTGTGCTGTTTCTGCCCCTCTTCTGTGCCCCCACCTCAGATTACAGATTTGCAAAAGCACAACCAGAGAGGCCCTGCTGCCTCCTGCTCCCTCTGCACCAGTTTGAGCACGTTTGTGTCCCTGGTTTCAGTCAGACTGGACAGGACTTGCATCTCCCCAAATTGTCTTGTGGTCTGGGGAAGTGGGCAGAAACAATTATCACCACACAAATCTTGCTCTGCAGTTTATCAGGCAGGTTTTTTTTACTTTTTCTATTTTTTACACCTCCTGGCAGTTGGCTGCTGTGGGTATTTTCTTAAAGTTTTTAAAGTTTTGTTCCTCAAAATATTAAGGAAAGAAAACCCCTCTCAAAAGTCCCTGCAACCAGTTGCGCTAGAAACCTCATTTATAAAAATACACCAAAACCCACCAGGGCAAATGAGTCAGCCTGGCCCTAAAGCCCCGTGCCAGCCCCATGAATCAGCCTGGGAGATGCTGGTTTGAGGCCACCCTTGTCCTGAAGGACCTGGAAACAGGTGGAAAGGGGACTTGCTCCATGGGAGTGTAGGAATGAAGGGGTCTGTTCATGGCAGGGAATGAGAACCCCCCAGATTTACAATCTTCCTCCACAGATTAAGCCAAAGGGGTGGGATTCATCCCTTGGCAGCTGTTGAGCTGTTCAGGCTCACTCGATAGCAAAGGGAAAGAAACAGGTGTTTTCAAACCCCAGTTCAGGTGTCCTGGGGTGGGCACCTGGGCTGGGCACCTGGGGCACAGTTCAGGCTGTGCTGTGGCAGAAGGCTGGGTGAGTTTGGACAGGTAGATCCCTCCCAGTTTATCTGGATCTCCCTCAGCACCAGCTACTAATTGTAAGCAGGGTAAGAGCAGCTGCAGGAGCGGTGGATCCCATCAGGTGGACCCAAAAAGGCCTCTGGAAGTGTTTGGTGTCAGGACATCTGCCTGGAGGAGAGAGCCCTGAGGGTGATTAATCAGATCACACAAATGACCAGGGCAGCTCTGGCTGCTGCTACAGCTGAGGGATGCAGGAGAACAAAGCAGGAGTTGGGAATGCTTTGGGAGTGTTGGCAAAGCTGAGCACACCTGCTCTGATCAAACCCTCATGGTGAAAGAACATTTTCTGGCCATCCAGGATGGCAAGGCAAAAGTTCCAGCCTCAGCACACTTGTAGGCAGTGATTAACCTGCTCTCTGTATTTTATACATGTACCAGTTTCTGGTGCTCCAGCAGTACAGGAAACTTTTGGGGGAAGAACCAGATATTTCTGAGAAAAGTTAATCATACTTAAGTTATTTAATGACTATTGTCAGTTATCAGCCTCCTGTCCCCACTTCGCTGCCTCACAACGGGCAGAGGAAAGACACTCATCTCAGGAGTGAGTGGACCCAGTGAAACCCAGTCATGCTCTTATTTCATGTGTTCACTGATCTATTGCAGAAGAAAGTTAATAGTTATCTACCTTCACTCCTTTCAGGAATCTGTGAATCAAAAGATAAGCAGAGAGAAGCAAGTAAAAAACTTCCTGCTGAAGTGAGCCAGTGGTGTTTTAAAGAAAGCACCACTTGGTGCAACTTCCAGGGAAATTAAATATTCATCTGAAATACGAAAAACCCAAAGCAGGAAAATGATCATAATCTGGTCAGATTCTCAGTAAGTCTTTCTTTTCCCTGTCATGATTAACCTTTCCCAGGAGTTAAGTTCAGCTGTCCCTGGACACTGAACCCCTCGGAACAAAGAGCCCACAAAGTGTCCACAGGATGATGCAGAGGCCAGAAGTTTAAATGAGAAGAATGATGTGTGGTGGGCAGGTCCAGCTGGGTATTTGTTTGGATGCAGGGATTCCAAAATCCAGGAATTTCCTGAGCCATTGATTGCCAGAGGCTCTGAGAAGATCCAGGAGAAGGAAAACTCCCTTGGCCCATTCCCTGCTCTTGCCTGGAGGGTCCTGTGGGACCTTCCCCCCTTTTTCCCTGAATCCCCCAGGGCTTCCTGCATCCCTGGAACCCAGAACTTCCTGCATCCATCCCCCTGAGCATCCTGCATCTCCAATGCATCCTGCTTCCCCCAGTGTTCCTGCAGATATTTTTTAATAGAAATAATTTGCAAAAGACTGGATGGACTCAGTGAACAAACTCAGCTCTTCTTACTCCCAATTCCTTGATTGATTCACTGAATTAAAATGTTGCCAGGGAAAGTGTTCTCTCTCTCTCTTTTTTTAAGTTTTATTTTTTAAATTAAGAACACAGAAGAAAAGGTGTGAATTATGCAAGATTCCATTTGCTTTGGAACAAAAGGCCCCCTTAAAATTGCCTCCCAGCCTCTTTTTTTGTGTTTGTTTCTGAAGTGATTTGAGGTTTTTGAGCTTCTAAAAGAGAACTGTGCTTTTTTTTTTAAATCTTTTTTTTTTTTCTTAAATAGTAAAAATGAGGAAGATGAAAGTCTTTTACACTGTTTAAATACTCAGATAGAAGTGCTCCACTCCTGTGTCACAGGGCAGGGACCGAGAATTATTAATAAAGCTGAAAATTATTAATTAATTATTAATTAATTTTAATTAGTAATTAATTAATTAATAATAAAGCTCGAGGCTGCAGCCCAGGCACTCACCCCCATCCATGGTGTGGTTCCAGCACTCTCCAGTCACAGAGGTAGCGAGAGCATCCCTGGCCCCAGCGCCGCCTCCTCTCCTGCAGGACCCTCCTCGGGCAGCTCTGCTTTTATACCTCCTGCGCCCCTCTGAGGAGGTCACAGGCACCCTGATGTCACTGACATTTAGACCCTGCTCCTCCTCCTCGTGTGCTCAGAGCTGTGCTGAGCTCTCGGGGTGCTCAGGTGCTGCCTCGGAGTGTTCTGCACACCCACAGCTGCTGCTGACGCTCGGGGAAGAGAAGGGAGCTCTGCTTTTGGACTGACACACGAGGAATGGTCTGTGGTGAAGGAAACAGGGGAAAGAGGCTCTTTCTTACCTCCCCCTCCAGCAAATCCTGCTTCATCTATGGAGCCCTCAGTGCTGGAGGAAACAGAGGATCCCATCCCATTCCCCAGAGCTGTTTTGGGGAGGGGGTGCAGGATGAAAACTCTCAGTGCACAGGACTGCCCATGACAATAACCCTTTGTCCTTCTCCCCTGCTACACTGCCAGCAGCTCAGTGACTTCCCCCGTTCTCTTTCTGGGTATTTTTGTCTTCCCCAAAAGGCTCTGCATTTTCTCAGTGTCACGCCTTCCCCCAAGGCAAACCAGTGTTTGATGGGTGTCAAAGAGGGCTCTGCTCTTGGAGCAGACCCCTCAGACAGAGGGGTTGTTTCTCAGACAGAAACATCTCCAGCTCCTCACAAACTCGCTGTTCTCCTAAGCCAGGCTCACCTGGAAGTTACACCTTTGGCATCTTGTCCTTTCTGTCTTCTTATGCTATGTCAGTGCTGTTACTGCAGCCAGGTGGAAAAAATAGGGCATCACAGGATGGAATCCCAGCCCAAATGAAATATACCTGAAGCTGAGGGTAGTTTTGAGGCTCCTGTGGATTTAGATCCTAGGTCATAAGGTCTTAGGTCCTTTATGAAGACTCAGATCCAGTTTCAGACCCTCCTTCAATGTGGTCCCAGCCCAACTCAAAATCCTCTCAGTGGACCAGTGCTGGTGTGGTTCTGAGCCCATTCTGGGGTGCTCAGGGTCAGGATTTTGGGGTTTTGGCAGGGCAGGAGGAGTGTGATGGTTTTCCTCTTCTCACACAAGGTGACCCCACTCTCCTTGCTGCTCTGTGAGTGCGTGGCACCGACTCCCCCGCACCTCTCCTGGCTCTTATCTCAGTCAGCAGGTGCTGTTCACATCTCTGCAGCTATTTATTGCTCTGTTTGCCTCTGCTCATCAGGAATCCAGGCAGGTACGCTGCCTCGGGAGCTTTATCTCGTAACCACTTCCTCCAAGGAGGACCGGAGATGAAAGGCTTCCCTTGGGTACCGGCAGAATACCCGGAATCAAGGGGTGTGACAGCTCTGTGGAGGCTTCACACAGGGTCACACCTGGGGAGCTGTGGGTGTGCAGAGAGGGCACGGGCCCCTCTGGGTGCTCTGGGCTCACCCTGCCCCAGGGAGAGGCACCAGGCACTGTTCTGGTGGATCCATCCCCATGTTCACGCTGGCTGAAGCCAAAGGTGAGACAGGGGAGGCAGGCAGGTGGTTTGCAGCTTGTTTTCTGCTCATGGTCCCAAGATTCAGCTTCAAAGTTTCGGTACATGCCAAATTCTGTGTTGTTAGAGCCCAGTCAAGCAAACTGTTTTTCTTAAAAAGAATGGGAATATTTAAAATGGGAATATTTAAAGTGGGAATATTTAAAATATTTGGATCAGTTTGCTGTCTATGTATGACACTGAACATATGTGTGACATATATGTGTGTATGACACTGAACTTCTTGTACTGTCACGTTTTGTACCCAGGGAGTTCTCAGAACATTTATTAAATCTTTGCTTAATTTGATTGTGTATATTTGCAGTCTATTTCATGCCTGAATGATTCCATGTCTTTGAAACGTTGCCTGAACCTGGGTGCCCCCTGAGCTGCTTTTCACAGAACTGTGATCCTGTGTGAGCAGACAGACAAACCCAGACACTGCCAGGCCTGAGCTGTGCCCATGAAAGCCATTGCTACTAGAACCTATTTGTTATTCCAAAGTTAATTAAATATATATAAAGAATCAAATTACCAGGCATTCCAGTCTCTGGGTGTCTCTGCTCCCCTCCAGCACCCAGGAGAGTGGAAGTCAGTGATTTAAAGCTGCTGCCCAGGCTGCAGCAGAGCTGGGTGGCAGCTTTCATCCATAAACTTCTCAACAAAAATGCAGCTCCTGAGAAATTCCACAGGAAATTACTCAGAGAGAATTTGGTTCAGTTCTCATTGGTTCCACTTGAATTGAAATATTGAGTTGAACTGAACTGTGTAATCCTGAATTGTCCTGACATTAAATTGCAACTTGCTCAGCAATGGAACATCACAAGGAAGTTTAGCTCTGTGTTTCACATCCCTGGCCTGTGTGTAATACTGTAATTCCTGTGGTTTGTCCCAACACAGTCTCACAGACATCCTGAGGTGGGAAAGATCCTAGAGATCCAGGAGAGGGTTCCAAGGTGGCACATGCAGGCTGGGAGACCTTGGAAATCAGAACTCAGGGCTTTGCCTAAAGAGGTGGAATTTGGTCTGAGAGAAGCACAACACAGAATGTTCTTGCATCCTGGATTCCAAACTTTTTGGTATTTTCCATCAGTTTTGCTTTAGGTGATTTGAGATGGAAACATTGTCTCCTTCTCCTGTTCTGCCCCTTGGCTGACATGAGCCATGGGAAGGTTTGTCCCCGTGGCTGGAGGAAGCCAGGGGTGCCCAGACAGAAGTGTTGGTGAGTTCAGGGTGAGCCTTTCCCAGCTGTACTTCCCAGTCACATCCTTGCACTGACGTCAAGGAGGGACCCTCACGTCTGTCCTGCTGTTCCTCTGCCTGGCAATGCCAACTTGAGGTGCCTGGGATCTGCCCAGACCCCTGCTCTGACGTCTGGGGACATCCAGGGGGGTTTATGCTGGAAGTCAGCAGGGTCGCTCCAGGGGCTGTTGACGTTGTTGTTCCTCAGGCAAATATAAAATAGCAGAAGTGAAATCGTGAGTAAATTCCTGACCTTAAGAGTGGCACCAAGCTGGGATTCTTCACCCAGGAGAGTTCTTTGTGCGGGTGTTGGGGATGCCCTGAGAAACATCTCGTGATTTTGATCTCACCACCAGGTTATTAACAGATCCTTATCCTCCGGAGGGAGGAAGCAATCTGTGCAGGGCCAGGCTCTGATGGGGATGCACAGCCACAGTGGTGGTCAGCCACAGCAGAGAGGGGCACACCCAGTGTCACTGGGAATTCACCTGCTTTGTGCCCACATCATGTCCTAGGTGATGGCCTGGCTCTCCAGTTCTTTTTTTTTTGGAAAAATAAAAGATTTATCGAATTGGCATCTGCACTGCACTGAACAGTTGGACATCAGCAAGAATTTCTTCATGGGCAGGGTGGACAGGCATTGGAAGGGGCTGCCCAGGGAGGTGGTGGAGTCCTCATCCCTGGACGTGTCCAGAGAACGACAGGATGTGGCACTCAGTGCTCTGGTCTGCTTGGTAAGGTGGGGATCGGTCACAGGTTGGACTTGTGACCTTGGAGGTTTTTTCCAACCTAAATGACTCCATGATTCTACTCCATGACAGCAGCTCCCTCATCCTGGAGCTCAGGAATGGAGACACGAGGAGGGAAACAGAGCTGGAGATGCCAGTGAGGAGGGGTCAGGCTGGCAGGGACAGTGACATTCCCCTTTCCAGCCCCAGGGTGAGAAGGGAATTCCAGTGATCAGCCACTGACCATTTGCACTGCTGGTCCCTCTGTCCCTCAGGGCAGGGCTGGGCAGCTTCCCGTGGCTTCTGCTCCCTCTTGTCTGCCTGGGACTGTGATGAGCAAACTGGTCCTTTCTGGATCTGAAGGAGACAGTGGTCCCCTCAAAATGCTGGGTGGGAAAGGAGAGGTGATTGAAAATGGGCAGAAAAGCTCCTGGGATGATACAGAAACTATGTCAGGGGAGCATATGAGCACCAGATGTGCCCAGAGATGGTAAAACCTTCTCACCCAAGTGAGCAAACTGCTGGGCAATTCACACAGGATATCAAACCCTAGTGAGCAGTGAATCATTTAGAGGCATAACAAGATACATTTTAGGGAGATAAAGGGATATTGATTAAAGAGATAAAGCATTATGACACTTAAAAATAATTGAGAGGTGAAGTGTCTCTGACCATCCAGCAAACATCACTCCTGCAAGCTGTGTTCCCTTGTTCAAAAGGTGGAAGGTGTAACACCAATCTGCTGCTGCCTTTGGATGAAAACTGGATCTAGAAACTGGAAATAATCCCCTCAGTGTTTGCTCCAAGAAGAGCTCATCCAGCCCTCTCTTACAGATCTGGCATTTCTCATCCCTGGGATTAAAAAATTGTAATAAACCCATGATAATGTGATTTTCACTCTGGTTCCAGAACTAAAATGGGTTTTTCTTGGTTTTTAAACAGAATCGGGTGATAAAAGCAAATTGAAACTGGTTGTTGACAGAAATTACTGACTTGTGGAGTCACAAGTGAAGCTTTACGTGATGATTTACAACAAAATAAGACACCAGCCTGATACGTGCAAACCACTTCAAAAAACCCCTCGAAGACTGTGGAAAAAGAAACGTCAAAGTGAAAGAAGGGAACTGAGAGCACAAACAGCAAGACAGACCTGAAGCAGGATCTGGGCTTTCAGATTCAAGTGCCTGATCCCATTTGGCCATCAGATCCTGCTGGGAGAGGTTTGCCAGCCTCTGTCAGTAACACTGAGCACAGGGGGGATTTCAAACCCAGAGATCCAAGACCTGGGTTCAGTCTCGAGCAGGTGTTGCAGCTCCTCAAAGGCACAAACATGGCTGTAACAGTCCAGGATGAAACTGGAGCTTGCCTGGGAGAACATGTGGAATTCCTGAACCCCCACTTCTGCAGTGTGGCACCCACAGTTTGTATCCAGGTGCCTGGAGAGCTCAAAGCTGCAGGTGAGTGACCTGTGAGCATCACCCTGATCTGGCAAATTGGTACAAATACCTCACTCTGTGAGTTGGTACAACTGCAGCTCACTCTGAGCTGGTACAACCAGCAGCTCTGAGCAGTTGCACAGAGCATGAGGTGCCACAGCTGCTGCTGTTGGTGGCACCGACCATCCTGTACAAGAAAAGTAGCGCTCACGTTTACAGCCGAGGGTAGCACCGTGTGTCCTTTGGGCAGGTTGGTGAGGACTCCTGGTGGCAGTGTCTGCTGCAGTTCACACACCTCTGTCAGCACATATCCTGCACTAATTCCATCTCCAGTCTGCCATGAGGGGTGTTTTCCCCCAGTGTCCCAGCACCTGGGACTGCTGGGAACACTTGGCAGTTAAAGGGATGAGGGGAGGTCACACCGGAGTGAGGACACCCCGCATGGTGGGGAGGTTTGGATTGGTGGCTGATCAAACATGCTTTGAGTAGCTTTTCATAAATTGAGGGAAAAAAAAAAATCCAAAATAGCTTTGTTTTTTTAAAAAAATGAACAGCAAAACCTGCCTGGCTGGAGGTTCAGGGCAAAACTTGGGGCAAGAAAAGGAGAAATAAACCATCCCAGGATCCTTGGGACAGGGCAGAGGATACACTTGGAGCTGGTGGGAAATGGGAAAACAAATCCTGGGATGGAGGAGGGGTCTTGGCAAAGGCCTGAGCAGAGCGAGGGTCTGACCCCGTTCCTTGTGTGCTGCCCACCCACACCTCCCCTCCTCAGGACCCTCCTCAGGACCCTCCTCACCCCCAGTTTGTCACCACACACGGGTGGATGTGAGTTCCCCCACCAGGGGCTCTGGACCTGCTCCCCCGAGTCAGGGCTCAGGGGTTCTCTGCTCCTGCCCTGAGCACAAGGCTCTGAACATCCCTGACACACATGAGCTGCCCCAACACCCCTTTGTGCCAGCATTCGGATTTGCTTTGATATTTTATTTCTGTAAAGCTCCTTTAATCTGTTTTATTTCTTTCTGTCACCAGCATAATCCTCTCTTGTGAGCAGCGTCTGCAGCTCATTTGGCTCCAGGCAGAGCAACTTGGCAAGACTTGTCCAGGTGATGCACAGGTGATTTCTTCCATTTATTTTTTTTCTAAAAACAACCTTGTTTGTTTCTCTAGAAGTCTTTTTTTTTTTTCTTTTCTGAAAGTTCAGCTGCTGAACAAACACAAGGCTTTTGTCTTTTTGGGAAGCCAAGCTCAGTCCTGTGTGTAGGTGAGGGGTTTGGAAGGGATTTGGGTGCATGAAGCTCTCTCTCTTGGGCTCTGGGTTCACTTTACCTGGTGAATAATTTCTGAACAACCTCACAAGGTGCCTGGTTCATATTTTAACATCTAAATCCCTTTCAAAACTTACCCTTTGGGCCTGCTTTGTGCTGTGTACCCGTTACTCTGTACCAGCTTTGTAGGTTAGAAGGTTTTTGGGGTGATAAAATCTAGTAATTACATAAATGAAAAAAAAAAACCCCAACAAACCCCCAAACCATCAAAAAACTTGAGACCAGTTCTTTTTTTAACCCAGGCTTCTTAATAACTTTTACCGAATGTGTTTTTGTGGTGAGATAAAAGCATATTTTTGACAACGACCCAACACAGACAAGAACCTTTGCCTGCAGAGCAAACCAGCAGAAGCACCACGCTGATGTCAGGTCACAATGCCTGAGTCAGACTTGAAAACCCCTGGTTTTTCTCAAAGAGAAAAACAAACCGAAGAAAACAACTCCCTCGCATGATGTAAAGCTTGGATTTGCCTCTTTGCTTCAGTCCCCCGGGGGCGGGAGGGACTCAGCAGCTCTCAGCACCCCACGGGGGATGGCTGCACCCCAGATCTCCAGCCTGCACCACCACCTGCCAGACAGGGCACCCAGCAAACCCAGTGGGACCAGCAGCAAAGCACAAGGGCTCTTCCTCATGGGAGAAAGAGTTCCTGGCCCTGCTGGGGCCCTGCAGGGTCCACCAAGAACATCCCACTGAGGACTTGCAGGACACAAGGCCTGCCAGGAGCTCCAGGTTGCTCTGGGGAAGGGCTGCTACAGGAGCCAGGTTTCTCCTGAGGCCTGTCCCTCCCCTGTGCTGGGGTCCCTGATGCTCCTGTCCCTTGTAGGCACCTCTGCCTGGCACCATGGGGCTGGTCAGTGCTCCAACAGTGCCCATGGGCATTCTTTCACGTTCTCATGTGCTTGGACAAGTTATTTCACTCGTGAAGACGACACCCACTCCTTCACGTACACACCCTGAGCTGCACACACCCGTCTTTGCCAATAATTAGTTATTTACATACACCTTGAGAATTTGGAGCAGATGAAAAGCACCCCCGGCCTACAGAACCCAGGGCTGCTGCAGATAAAAGCTGTTGCACAACAAGGGTTTGCAGCACCTCAGGTATGGAACCCCACCTGGTCCCCACGGTGTTGGGGGAGGGAGGGGGGCTCCAGTCCAGCCAGCAGCTGGTACTGTGTAAGAAACAAAATCCTGTGTGTTTGTTTTCCTCTGGTTTGTGATGGAGAACAGCTGAAGAAAGCTCTGAACCAAACACTAGCACTACCTTAAAAGATAAGAACAGACCACTGTGAGTTTTAAAAAAAACCAAACATGTTGGATTTTATTATTTTTAGACCATTTAGAAAAAAAAGGACTTAAAAAACACCATCTGATAGACCCACTGCTCTGTAAATACACATTGGTTCATTGAAACATTATGTGTTCCCTCAGTTAAAAGTCAAGAAGTGGCCCATGGCTGTTGCTGCAATTCAGTGTATTTATTTGTGGGCTTTTGCTTATATAGGGCAAATTATGGCCTTTTCAGTATGTTTGTAGAGTCTCCAGAGGTTCTGAAAGCTCATGACAAGCAAAACTACTATTTTTTTACTATTTGTGCCATATCAGTGACTGTCTGCTCAGAGAACATGTGCGTGTCTAAACGCTCTCCTGCTCTGTTCTGTGCCAGGTCTCTGGCTGAGGTCACACCAGGGTCTCTTGGTAGCAAGTAAAGGAGTTAATTGGAACAGAAAAGCAAAGGCTTGTTGAAAAGAATCCTGCACCACAGAAAAAAAAAAATCCCTCATGATGTGTCATTTCCTGCAAGACTACACTGAGCCCTTTGGAACTGGATCTCCTGACATGCCACACACAGACCATGAGAAAGTTTCCACCACTGCAGAGCAGCTACTCTAGAAAAACAAGTTACACCAAAAACCCCTAAATCCCAGACTTTCAGCCTCACTCTGGAGCTGCTCCTGAGCACTGAGAACCTTCTTTAAAAGCACAGACTGGGGCAGCTGCAGCAGAAATTGCCTCTGTTGACATGCAGCGCAGTAGTTGTGGGACACAGGGGACTTTTGGGGCTGTTAGGTAAGAAGAGGCTCCAGGGGATGCCTTAGGCAGGCATCAGGTCTTTGCTCCATGGTAAGAACATGTCTGAATGCTTCAGCCACATTCCAGCCTCTCCAGAAAGCCAGTGCCACTGCCAACAGCACCTTGTGCAGCCAGGCCAGGACTGCAGCACAGGTGAGACACCTGCACCTGACTGCTGCCACAAAGGGGCAAGAAGGGCCTTTGGGGAAAAGTGCCACTGTGTCCATGGCATCAGAAGAAAAGGAGAAGGCCTGATTTCTCATACAGAAACCAAAACTAGTGGTGTCTTTCTAGGGAACAATTACAAGTGATATAAGCACCTCTCCACACTGTAATAACTGTGTTTAGACATATGAGGTTCCTTTTCTGCCTGCTGCAGGATACCCTGTGCCTCTCCAGGCCCCTTCACATTGCTACGCTGCTAACCTGACATGTCATTAAGCCCTGGCATCCTTTGGAGACAAGTGACAGAGGCAGGGAAGGTACAACAGCTGCAGAGCACGTTCTGAAATCAAACAGTACTTCATTACAGAGACACAGGAATTGAGTCAGTGATTATTCTTTCTTCTCTCCCTCCTCAGCGATGGGGTCTGCGGGCGGCTCCTCCACGGTCGCGCTGTTGCTCTCTGAGCCGGTGTTGCTGTCGCTGGTTCCCTCCTCAGCTGTGCTGTCCACCCCTTCCTGCCCACTCTCCTTGTCCTCTGTGGTAGAGGTTCCTTCTTCACCATTCTGCTGGCTCTCTGTGCTCTCTTCTGGGTGAGGCTCTTCTGGAAAAACATATTTCTCAGTGTCAATTACATGCCAATATTTATTTAGATTGTGCAATTAGGATTTAGGAAGAAACAGAAGCTGTAATAAATCCGAGTATTCCATAGCACTCACTTATGTCACGTAGAACATGCAGGGACAGGCACAGCTCAGGGATCTCTCAGTGCTGAGGACACATGTGGTCCTGCCACAGCATCCTGATGTCAGCCACAGCTGCCTGACCTCAGAAAGCCATGCTCCTTGTTATAGCAGAAGCACTGGAATTCAAACTCCTTGGTCCCTCTTTCCTTATGCCCCTGCTGTTGCAGCAGTGACTCACTGATGTCACTGGGACTCCTGAATCCAGCAGCATTTCTTACTCCCACTGTGCAGAGCACAAAGCAGCTGGAAAACTTGCCTGAGAGCAGCATAGGAAGCATTGCTGTTTTATCATCCTGGCTGGGCACTGACACTGGGACAAGGAAACACTCCCAGTTGCTCCCAGTTAACCAAAGTCTAACTTCTGGTTTACTATTTTTCCCCCTGGGTACATCACACACAAAGCATGACATGGGGCTCTGCGGGATCTTATCCTCTCCTCTTTTAAAAATGAGTGATTTAATGAGAAGCAAGCAAATGCCTTTGTTCACCAAGATGCAATGCACTGTTCTCCTCAGAGACCCTTTAATGCTGATCCTTGGAGGATTCTGCAGCTGATGATTGGATGCAGTTACCTGTCTCCATTGGAGTGCTCTCCTCTTCCTTCTTCTCCTCCCCCTTGCTGGCTGCCTGCTCCTCCTCGGCTGCCAGGCTGTTCTGACTGCGCTCGGCTTGCTCAGCTGCTTCCTTTTCCCTTTCCTCCTGTCTCTTGCGAGCCTGTTCCTCAGCTTGAGCAATTTCAGCTGCAATTTTTTCCATATCCACTTCCACCTTCAAACTGCATAACTAGCAATTAAAAACAAAACAAAACTCTTTAGCTCTTTTATTACCTCATTTACCCTGAGAAATATATCATCAGTAAACCCCAGCGATGAGTTCATTATTTCTACACGCAGCACAGTCCTTTTGATTGTACAAAGTTTATATTAAAAGTAACTAGGGAGGGAGATACAGGCATATTAACAAAAAAAGGGGAGAGGCAGTAAATAAAACTTGTTATTTGAATGCAGCCAAGGAGAGCAGTGTGCCCTCCACAGTGGCTTCAGGCCACCTTCCTCCAACTACTCTGAGTGAATTCACCCAGCCCAGCCTGGTAGCACTTCTAAACTGTACTGGCCCAATGTCCCCTAAAGGTCACTGAAGGAGGAAAACATCCTGTATTTTGTACCACCCACACCAGGGCACTGCCCCAGCAGCTGGGCAATTGCTCAGAACTGAACAGAGAACTGAAGCACTTATACCACTGTGGAACCAGCAGCTTCCTCAGAGTGAGAAAAATGAGTTGTACCCTTTTAAGCTCGTTGTTGAAAGATTCTGTGCTTTCCAAAAACTTCCTCTTCTTTTCCTGGTGACGCTCCTCAATTTGCAGCAGCTCAGCTTCAAGCTTACGCTGGAAGTGAAAGGAAAAGCAAGAACCTCACTGTGCAGTCACCTAAAAACTGGGCAAAGCTACAGCTACACATACCAATTTTCATATGGGTTTATTTTTAAATATTGGTCTAATACGTAAACATCCTTTTGCCTGCCTCTGATACCCACTAACTCAGAAGTTCATACTGAAAAGTAGGAACAGTACATGGGTCTGTGCAGCAGTTTGAGCACATTGTAAATGAAACACTGTGTACCTGAGGTGAAGCTTCCAGCATCAAATCTGCACATTTTCTTTCCTATTCTGCACCCCCAGGTCTGTGTATACCTATCCCACAGGTCTGTATATACACAGCTCACAGGTAGAGACACACCCTTCACATCAATTATATTCTCTACCACAGAAAAGACCACTGTTCACAGGAAAGAAGGACAACCACCCCCTC